TTAAACCTGTGATCAACATTTACAAAGTGCTGAGTTAGCTCTCAGCTACCATCACACCATCTTTGAACCTAATAAGTCTAAAAACAGCTGAAATATAACCAATTTTACATTTTAACTGTGGCAGTCATCTTGGATTTGCATTGATGCATTCMTCTGCTCTCTTTTTCATTTGAATTGGMAAGCCCTGATAAGATAAAAKAAATGYATGCTCTAACTCGTTSTATGATGATAGCTGAGATATTTACTCTAAAACTGTGGACGTCTGGTTTAGCCCCAAAGTTTGAGATCTGATTAACTCTTAAGCATCCCGTATGTGGAAAGACTAAAATACAAAATATATGGTAACATTCAGTAGTTTTCTTGGAAATGTTGGAGCAAATAAATAACCAATGATGCTCCCAGTACTTAACCACCATACTCAAGTGTTTTCCAAATAAAATGTACTGCTGGACAGTTGATCAGATGTCACTGATGTGTATCTTTTTTTTTACTTTTTGCTTTGTTTTATTATTATTTATTTTGCTCATGTATTGCCTTTGTGTCTTTCATATAATTTAATTTGAAAATCTTCATAAAGTGTTAAAAAATAAGTTAAATAGAAATTATACCTGCGTAACCGCATATAAGGAGAGAAAGGAAACAAAAATCTTTGTTAAAATATTAATTTAACCTTTTCCTTTTGCTAACATGTAAAAACACCAAAAATATGATTATTTCTTTTAGAATTTTAGATTTATAAAGCAATAAATAAAATATTTCTATATGCAGTTTATATAATGAGATGAGTTTTCTCATTCTTCATTCAATTCTCATTCTCATACAAGTTTCTAATGTAGGGGTTACTACAACTAATGGTCATGAAAGCCACGTCAAGTGAACAGGAAGTGGCATGCAGGCCACTAGTTGATAACATTTCTAGTGTTTTGTGGCTCCGGATCTATTTTATTTAATGAGCGAAAACACAGAAATGACTTTTTTGCCTTATAGAAACAACCGAGATTAAAGGACATAGGTTTAAAAAAAGAGATTGAGGGTAGTATAGTTGAAACACGGCTCGTGTCTACTTCAACTTCTTTGTAAACAATCTGTTCCAAACAGATATTACCTCTGAACAGTGATGGAGTGGAAACCTGGAGAGTCGTAACAATTGCTGATTGTTGCTGACCCGTCGGACTCTTATCAACAGCGATTAGGGGAATTATCATGGACCCGTATCAACGCAGAGTCTCACAGAAACCCTGCAGAAGCATGCTGTAAATCCACCTCTTTATGCTGCCTGTGGGCAACATGCTGCCCATTAAATTATTAACAAAGGCGAACCTTTATGAGCGATACGCTTCACTGACACTGTATTAATAAATAAAGAGAATGCGCACAGTAAAACGCCAACAAAAGAGACGTGCTGGCTGGAAAAGAAAAATAAATAAATAAAAGCACAAATTGATAATGAATGCCTGCGATAATCAAACCACAATGCAGATGAGGCGGCCTCGTTAGGAGGCGAGAAACATCCCGAGCCATCGTCGAGCGGCACCAGAGGAAACATCAAGTTGGAGGCGTCTGTGTTGGAGGGGACATTGAGTGGAAGTCTTACAGATGACAACCCCCCACCCCCCCCACCCCATCGTCTGAAGTACGAGAAGAGAGCTGAGGGAGATGTTGTGACTCTAACAAAGCATCAGATGTACGAGCAGCTTGTCACAGGGAAGTGTTGACAAAGGAACGTCTGATCAGCGCCACGCTAAAAAAAATCTCAAAGTGCAAAAAGAATTATGCTAATCATGTATGTAAGAATTAAAACAACAAATCTATCTGGACGTATTTATGTCAGGGAGGAAAGAAAATAAGGGAGCACAAAAAAAGTAAGACAACTTTCTCGACTGACTCAAAAATTCTTCAACTGGGAAAAGTCTAATTTTTCTTTAATGAAATTGGATTTAAATATAACCAAAAAAATAATAATAATAATAAATTGACTGACAGCTCAACCGCCCCCCCCTCCCTTTTGCTGTTTTAAACCAAACTCTCCATTTCTTATTTAGCTCGTTTTTGGTGTCTTTGTCTTTTGATTCCTTTGAGGCGCGAGCGGCTTGCAGTCGGAAATGAACACTCGCTGAAAGATGGATGAGGGAAAAGTTCTCCGAAGACCCAATTTTGAGTRAAAAGCGATTAAACATTCAAAAGAAAAGGGAGGAAAATAAGTTCTTTGAAAACTGAAAAAAATTCTTGAGAGGATAAAAAAATACAGTGTTAAAGGAATACCAGGTGCGTACGTATTCTACCCACACGAAGCGAGGAAGACTTTGTTTCCAAAACACACAGCGTTTATCTACGATTCAAGACAATTAGCTTCTGCAGAAAATAGTTTTTTTTCAGAGCAGCAATAGGAACCTACCGTGTGGTGAAGGGTGAGTTCTCTCTTTTATTAAAATGATGGTTTTATTTTTGTAACACCAATCAAATTGCTACATTCAGAAAATGTATTAAAGCTTATGTTTTTAGAATAACTCTGACTGTTGACTGGGTGGGCAAGAGAAAAGCAGTTTCTTACATTGGAAGGGATGCTTTAAACAAATTAATGGATAGTCAAGTCATTTCTGGACTGATAATCTGTCAAATAGTTTTCATAGTTAGTCATTTTTGAGCTGTGACATCAGTCAGAAAGCATGAMGTCTGGAGAAAGAAGCAAAGACCTGCAAGCTAGGCTAATAGCTAACCAAACAGGACGGTTATTTATTATTTTTCATGCAAATGGATACTTTTCAAAAACGGAAGGAGTATTTTTTGCATTGTCAAACCCAACCCGGTTACAATCAGCCTGACATTTTTTTCCCCTGGCCCTGGTTGTGTTTGCTTCGAGCAGAGGGCCTCCTCACTGTGGGCGGGGCTTATCATATAAAAAAAGTACTATGACTACAGAGCGCTGCAATTTTTATGGCAAAATGGAAGTCAGTGGAGCATTTGCTTCCTAATTTCCAGCCTTCAAAGACCTCTAAACCCTTAATGGGTGGTCCAATTAAAAAAAACGAAACAGTTTTGGAATCTGTACATAGAGCCTTACGAGAATAAAAAGGAAAAACAGCTCTTAAATAAATTAGAAAAATTTATCAAAGCAAATCTAATGTTGTTTTACTTGCCATACAACAACGACTGAGATCGAGCTCTAAAAAGAAATATAAAACCTTTTTCCTGGACCATCCTGCAGTAAGGCTATGAAAACAAGAGGGCAAGACGACAGAGGTCGGTATGCTAATGTTAGCTTGTTGCTTGGTAGCTCGCTACATTTGTTGATAGTTCAACTTGTCTGAAGAAAACATTGCAGAAATGTATTATTACTAACTGTATCATTCTTACATACCCAATATCCCATTCTTTTAAAAATAATTGTTCTATAAGCTTGAAAAAAAGATTTAAAATTTGGCCAAAGTTTGGGTAGCGATTAGAACAAACAAACAAAGAACAACAGATCATTATTTAGACCCAATCATTTTCCAGATAGCCAACAGATAATCAACACAAAAATGTCTGTATCTATGTCATTTTTACAGATATTGAGCAAAGCCCTGTAGTGGAAGTAGCTGGGAGGTTCTCAACCTGCTCTAAGTGCTCACAGTGGTTTTAAAGTTATGTCTATCAGAACGTATTTGTTTTTCACTGGGTTTGTCACTCACGTCATCATCAAAGAGCTCCATGATGAAAGTGGCCACGCTGCCGTTAATACCGATGAAGAGGTTGACGCAGGTCAGAACCACGTAGGCCGTACTGGGCACGCTGAAGAGGAAGGAGGCGGGATACATCATGGGAGTAATGGCCCACCTAAGAAAAGAAAAAATAAAGTCCCATCATCCTTCAGCTAAAAAAAACTGCAGTGGGTGAAACCACAAAGGCGATCTCCACTCNGTGAAGCGGCGGTGAAGTGGTGTCAGGGTGGGTTATACTGAGCCCTCTCCAAAACATGACTTCTACTTTCAATTTGAAAGAAACTGGTCATATTTTAGGAACACATTTTTTCCCCTAAATCATAGAGTTACCTTAAAATGAAATGTTTATTTTTTGTTAAACAGATAGTTGTTTTGCGGGGTCTTTTCTTGTAATACATGAAGTGATGTATACCATAAATTTTATTCCTCTCTAGATCTACCTTTAAGTGAGATATCAGGTCAAAAAAAAACTATTAACCTCAGTTAAAACCAAATACTAAAACTGTTTTCATTGTTCAGATTAGTATGAACTTTAGAAGTGCACTTTACAACATGAATTGATATTTGTAGAACTAATTTACTTACAGGTCTTTTTAAAGGTCAACCCTTAAATCACATTTTTCTGACTTCCTTTGTGTTTTATTATGTGTGTTTTAACATTTAAAGAAAAATGGCAGAACATGTTACTGTTTTGTGTCACTTTTAAGTAAGTTATCGATCAGTGCTGGGTTGACGCAGCAACAGTTCAGATCTTTTGAAGAAGGGTTTTGTGAAAAGTGAATGAACAAATAACATCTTACCTGTTGTAGATAGTTTTCA